CCCCGCCCCTGTACGGCCAAAACTCTGGCCTGATTGCTCGCGGGACGAGCGACGTCCCACCCCCTTGGCTGCTTCTCTTTGGGCGCGCCACCTTCGGAGTTAGGTGGGGGGGCGGGTTAGTCTGTGTAGTCTCCCCAATTGATTGACAAAGGAAGTTTGGGAAACACCAGAAAGAGAGAGAGAGAGAGAAGTGTAAACCGAAGGAAGGAAGCAATTCCCAGAGAGTATCAGTCTACACATCAAATGTACAGGGGCATAATAATAATAATAATAATAATAATAATAATAATAATAATAATAATAATCCTTCGATTTATTAATCGCTCAATCCTGCAGAGCTTGCTGGCTCTGAGCAATTTACAGTTACTCATTCACGCAGGACTAACAATGATTTATGGGGGTAAGGGAGGACAACATACATCTTTTAAATCACACACATTCACAGTCGGGGAGGGTTTGTTCAGCTGCAGGGTCAGACGTGTTCCGTCGGCATATTCACTTCGGCTTGGCTAGATGACGTCAACTTCTCCAGGTCTTGCAGCGCCACACTGCCACCGCCTGGCCGGAACGGCCCATTACAAGCTTCTCGGAGTCGAAGATATTTTTTTTTCTTAGGCTTTCAATCTTGCGAGCTGAGCATTCCGGTCGCCAGCTAACACCTCCCCCACCAGGGTTTTTTTTGGTGTGCCCACCCTCTCTAAGGAGTGGTACCCATTTTATCTACTTTCACCGAAGCTTTCGAACCGCTGGGTGGACGGCGAGCTAGGGACAAGGTTGGTAGCTCACACCAACACGGGGCTAGAACTGACAGCCATACTGTTCAGCTCAGATGTTACTAACCAGAGAATAAATCCTCTGTGCCACCGCTCCCCGCAGAGAGCAAACAGGAAGGAATGCTCCCAGTTTGCCTGTCTATCTATCTGACTCTCTTGTAACCCCCCCCCCAAGGCGGAGGCTAAGAGACAGTGTCTACCTCTTCTCTCCCAACAGAAAGCAAGTGTGGTTAGAGTGATGGACAAGGATCTGGGAGTCCCAGGTTCAAATCCCCATAAAGCTTTCTGGGTGTTGTTGGGCCACTCATATAGCTTCCACTGAAGAAGAGTGTCTTGTTTCCCCAAATTCCTTACAGGAAGGGCAGGATAGAAGCAGGGTAGCTCCTTGCTAGCTTTGAACCCAGTGGTTAGTGCTGTAGGTCACTTTCACAAGAGCTCTGGACCAGTTGATACTCCCTCTGTGGCTCAACGAGGAGCCGCACTTGCAATTGCTGTAAGCCAAAAGAGCCACATGCCCTGGGCACCAAACATGCCTATACAATAATATAACTGGTGGTAGAAAGTGCCATCAGGTCACAGCCAGCTTATGGCAACCTTGTATGGCAGTTGTGGCGAACCTATGGCACGGGTGCCAGAGGTGGCACTCAGAGCCCTCTCTGTGGGCACGCGTGCCATCGCCCCAGCCAGGCCCAGACCATCATTAAAGTGTTGAATTCTCTGCCAAATAATTTTAAGTAAATGAAAGCATTTGGGATTGCTTTCCTTACTTTGTCTGGATCATCTTAAGTTAATGTATGAGTTGTTTTTTCTAAAGTAAAACCTCAGTATTCAGGTTAAATTGCTGTGTTGGCATTCAGCGATATATAAGTGGGTTTTGGGTCGCAGTTTGGCACTCAGTTTCTAAAAGGTTTGCCATCACTGCTGTATGGTTTCTAAGGCGAGGGCGGGAGAGCGGTAGTTTGCCATTGCCTGCCTCTGTGGAGCAGCCCCAAGACTCCACTTCCGAAATCTGATGAGATCAGGCTAGCCGGGGCTATCCAGGTCATGGTTATAACTAGGAATTTGAATAACTATAACCAGAGGCCGAAAAGAAGAGTGGGTGGTTGTTGGAGAGGATTGGCCCTGGCATGAGGTCCGCAGCTCAGGAAAGTTAGCAGCTTACCCATCCTTCAGTCCCTCCGTCAGTGGCTGTTTCAGAGTGTGAACTAGAGATGCCAGCCCTCAGGTGGGACCGGAAGGACAGCTCATCTCCAGACTGCAGAAATCTGTTCCCCTGGAGAAAACGGATGCTTTGGAGGGTGGGCTCTGTGGCACTGTACCCCACTGAGGTACCTGTCCTCCCCAGGCTCCACCCCCAAATCTCAGGGAGTTTCCCAACCTGGAGCTGGGAACCTTATCCCTCCCGCCACCCCCCACTGGTGGCCAGGGAGGACCTAGTAACCCTAGTGCGAACCATCTGCCAACCATATGCCCTACTGGGTAACAGCCAGGCCCAGTTTTCCGGAACATGCATCATATTGGGAAACGGAACTCGAAAGAGTCACAGGTATCATGTCAAGGAGCCACGTGTGACTTCTGAACCACTGAGTATCACTGCTCTAGACTCTTAGTTTTGCTTTTTGCAAAAGATGGAATGGTTGGTCTGGATCAATGCTCCCTCTAAGTTGTGGAGTCTTGTGAGCAAAAATTCTACTTTATGAGCTACTGGCATTAAAACAGTGAGCCAGCAATTTGGCTACTGCATACATTAGTTTGCTCTGAAGCCATCCTTCCTGAGCGAAGACAAATATGTGTGAGCTGGAGGCTAAAAAACTGTGAGCTAGCTCACATTAACTCAGCTTAGAGGGAACACTGGTCTAGATGCAATGGTAACGCCTGTCTTTAAACTTCAACTAGGTCTAGGTGGGCCTACCCTTGACGGTGACCTGGAAACTGCAACTGGTGCAAAATGCAGCAGCACAGGTCCTTACAGGGACACCTCACACCGCGGATATCCATCTGGTCCTCCACGAGCTGCATCGGCTTCTCGTGGAGTACCGGATCAGGTTACGGTGTTGACCTTTAAGGCCCCTAATGGTCAGGGAGCTACATACCTCTGGAGCCGCCTCTCCTGGTATACCCCCAGTAGAGCATTACACTCAGAACACCAGAACTTATTGGTGGTCCCTGGCCTGAGAGACATCTGCCTGACTCGACCAGAGCCGGGGCCTCCTTTCCCCTGGCTCCAACCTGGTGAAACTCTCTGCCAAATAACATCTGTGCCCTCTGGGACATATTAAGTTCCTCTTAATGTCAAGGCAGACATGTTCCGCCAGGCGTTTGGTTGAGAAGAAGAGAAGAGATTGGATTTATACCCCGCCCTTCACTTGGAGTCTCAGAGCGGCTTACAAACGCCTTTCCCTTCCCCTCCCCATAACAGACACCCTGTGAGGTGGGCGGGGCTGAGAGAACTCTGACACAAACTGCTCTTTTTCAAGGTCAGCTGTGCCAGAGCTTGTGACTGACCCAAGGTCACATCAGCAGGCGCAAGTGGAGGAGTGCGGAATCAAACCCGGTTCTCCCAGATTAGAGTCCACACACTTAACCACTACACCAAACTGGCTTTCAGGTCAGCAATGGTTCCGTCTTGGCACTCCCACTCACTGCTTTCTCCCCCCCCCCCCCGGCCGCCCATTTCCCACAAGATACTGGCATGGTTAGTAAACAATGGATCAGATGATTATGTTTTTATTGCTTCATGTAAATTTTAATTTGTTTTATTGTTTTATTGATGTTTTATACGACTGTACCTAGCAGTTCGAAAGCAAGAAATTGCAAGTAGATAAATAGGTACCACTTTGGTGGGAAGGTAACAGCGTTCCGTGCCCCTTGGTGTTTAGTCATGCTGGCCACATGACCACGGAAATGTCTTTGGACAGCGCTGGCTCTTCGGCTTTGAAACGGAGATGAGCACCGCAACCCTAGAGTCGGACTCGACTGGTTTTCGAGCAAAGGAACCTTTACCTTTACCTTTACTGTACACCACACGGAGCCTAGTTTTACCGAGGAGGGGGTTGATAAATTTAATAAGGAAAATAAACACCTTGGCTGATTTCACACAAGGAGTTGTTCCACCGTCATGCCTCCCTTTGCCCCGTTTCCATTGGTCAATTTCCCACTCGAAGCCGCGCGGCCGCATTTTGGCCCGCGGCTTTGCCCGATTTTCCCCGCGGTTTCCTAATCCTCAAAAAACAGGATCACGAAACCGCGGCGGAAAATCGGGCGAAGCTGCGGGTCAAAATGCGGCCGCGTGGCTTCGAGTGGGAAATTGACCAGTAAAAACGGGGCAAAGGGAGGCGTGACGGCGGCGGCGCTCCTTGTGCGAAATCAGCCCTTCTCTCCTGACCAGAAGCAAATTCTTGTAGAAAGTTTCGTTGAGCACCTGGGGATTATGTTCAAGGCTAAGGAGCAGGAAGTTAGTTCTGAAGTTCAGTAGCCTTGTACTAGGGGAATGGAGGATGTTTTCCCCTTCCATAAAACTCTGATATTTTATAAGGCCCACCCACCTCTAGCAGTTTATTTCAGTCACGTATAAAAGTCTGGGTGGTGTCAGGCTAGAGTGTCCGGTGAGGATCCGAGGAGCAGATTCAAATTCCCCCTCTGCCATGGAAGCTTGCTAGGTGACCCTGGGCCAGCCATTCTCTCTCAGCCAGTGTTCCCTCTAAGCTGAGTTCGTGTGCGCTAGCTCACAGTTTTTTTAGCCTCCAGCTCACACATTTTTTTATCTTAGATCAGGAAGGATGGCTCCAGAGCAAGCTAATTTATGCAGTAGCCAAATTGCTCGCTCACAACTTTAATGCCAGTAGCTCACAGAGTAGAATTTTTGCTCACAGGACTCCACAGCTTAGAGGGAGCATTGCTCTCAGCCTCACCTAACCTGCAGATCGGTTGTTATGAAATAGTTTAAGTCAGAATGAAGACTTCAGCCTCCTTGAGGAGAAAAGCAAGGGTATAAAACATCTAAATAAACACATACCAGGTTGTTGTTGTCGCTTTGTATGCATTTAATTTTTTGGAAGCATTTTGGAATCCCACATGAATCTTTCACGGGAGTAACGTGCAGAGTCCATCAACCTTTTCAGCCCATCTATCAGAGACGAGAGAGTCACAAGGGGGGAAGGACATGTCCCCTTTTGACTCTGCTGGAGATCTGGTTTTTTTGTCTTAGATTTCTTTCCCTTGTGAGCCTCAGTTTCCCTTCTCCCTGAAGTAGTCTGCCAGTTTCTCAACCGCTTCCACGCACACGCTGGGGTACATGCCCTGGGTGTACGTAGCGACCAAGATGAAGGATTTGGTCTTCACGGCCACCACCCCTTTTTCTTTGCTTTTGGCGTAGATCGCGCTGTCGTCTGCCCGGACGCAGTCGTAATGCTGGCCTTTAAAGTAAAGGCCGTTCCTCCTCACCTGGTACAAGTTCTTGTAGAAAGCTTCGATGAGGAATTGTGCTTGCGAGTGGATGTTGAAGCCAGGCGTTGAAGCCAAGACCTTTCCGTCATCGATCCGGAATAGGGCCGCACTGGCCACATGCTTCGTTCTGGTGAGCCCCTCGATCAGCATGCTCTGGGCTTGGTTCATCTTGTTTCCTTCTGTGCTTTTCACGGAAGGACTCTGCTTCTTTTCTGGTTGCCAGGCTGCATGTCTTAACTGCCAAAGTGTCTCCCAAAGACTCCTGGGAGGTGTAGTTTCTGGACAGTCCTGAGATTTCTCTGCTGGAGAGTCCCACAGTTAGTTCCCTGGAGGGAAGGAACAATGGTTTAAAAACTGCCCTGTATTGACATTTCCAGAGACAGGCGTGACAGCTGCCCAGGAGAACCGATAGAGAAATTTGGGACTATACCAGAGTTGTGATTGGAAGCCTCGTGTTTCTCTCACCCTCACCCCCAGTAAAAGACAGAAGTGGTGAAAGACTTCAGGCTCTTTTCCATTTTTCTAAACTTTGGAAACATTTCAACGTATCTCAGGGTACAGAAAAGGGATCTGAATAACAATTGAATCATTATTAATGTGATTCACATCCAACAGTTAACAATGGTTTATGTGTTGCTTTTGGCACCTAGAATCGTTCAACACTGTTCATTAAATTAATGATTTAATATTTGATAATTGATTAATGAACAGTTAAACACTGCACTTGGTATTTACTATATTTACTCGAATACAAGATTTCTTAAAACACTTGTCAGTGACATTTTAAAAGGAGGGTGGTGTCAGAGCTCCCACCCACCCCGGCTCACAAGAAGGCTTTGAGTGAAGGTCAAGAACAAAATGTATAATACTGGGGAGTGAATCCTCACTGCCCAAGGCAAGGAGCCACCACCAGCCCCTCTAAGCTAACCCTGAGCTGAGAGACTGAGGGACCAGGTCTTCAGCCCTACTGGGTGTTAATCAAGACGTCAGCCCTGCAAGGTAGGACCCTTGCAAGTTGAGTTCAAAAACAATTACTTGGTAGCTGTAGCCAAAATAGGCCAAGGTATTGGGGTTTAAGACTGAAACCCCAAACCCCAAATAACACCAGTGGAGCATAATTAATAAGGTTTATTAAAAGAAATGTGCAAAAGTATACAAATATAGAAGCAGTGGAAGTAAACAATAAAACGGAAGGTTTTGGCCCAGGAGAGGAACGGATCGGGGGCGCAGCAAACGGGCATGATCTTACCGCAACATCTGGGAAGCGGCGCACACCCGTCCCCGATCCGTCCCTAAAGTCGGAAAACCCGCTGCAAAAAAGAACCTCCTACAGAGGAGGACTTACCAGGAACGCCGCATCAAGCGCGGCCGTGGGATCGCTGGCGCACCCGTCGTCTGGAGCAATGCAGGCTCCCGGCCAAACTGCGCATGCGCACACATGCACAGTTTGGCTGCTGCGCTCAGCCTTCAGTGGCTTCCCCCCCGGCATCTGATCGTGCCAGGGAGGAACTGCGCGGCGGCTCAGGGGATCTATGTGGTCCCGCCACCGTGTGTCTCTTTTGGTGCAGCTTTCAAAAGCCGCACTTTGCCCATGCTTCCCCCCCCCCATGTGGCAGGGGGCCTAGAATACTTATTCAGGCTTTAGTCCTGTGACCCCAATGTTACCTAGCAAGACTGAAGGTATGAAATCCAGATAGAACTACAAAACCAAGAGGCAGATGTTCCGGCCACACAAGGCCCAACCTACAGTGAAGAGGATGGCCAGATGGAAGGAAGGATCAAAACTAGAATGAATGATCTTGCTTAATGTCAGACTGCCCGCAGCTGGCCTGATCCTGTTTGGCCAACCAGGTGTGTTGCTAACACAGGTGACCACATACATCTGCAGCTGTAATAAGTTTAGTTTAGTTTATTGTTATTGTTGTAGCCACAAGTTATAACATCCCAGCATATACATCAACATATAGCAGTACACCCTCCAGTTTGGTGTAGTGGTTAGGAGAGCCAGTGTGGTATAGTGCTTAGGAGCACGGACTCTAATCTGGGAGAACCGGGTCTGATTCCCCACTCCTCCACATGCAGCTGCTGGCGTGACCTTGGGTCAGTCATGTCCTTTCTGAGCTGTTCTCTCAAGAGCAGTTCTCTCAAGAGCTCTCTCAGCCCCACCTACCTCACAGGGTGTCTGTTGTGGGGAGGGAAAGGGAAATGAGATTGTAAACTGTTCTGAGGCTGTGGTCACACACACTAAATAATCCACTTTCAATCCACTTTCCAACTGGATTTTGCCAGTTCACACAGTGAAATCCCGTTGGAAAGCGCACTGAAATTGGATTGAAAGTGGATTAATTAGTGTGTGTGACCACAGCCTGAGACTCCTTTGGATAGTGAAGAGTGGGGTATAAATCCAATCTCTTCTTCTTGTTCCTCTTCTCCTCCTCCTCCTCCTCCTCCTCCTCCACAACAGAAGGGTTAAAACACTTTCACATAACACAATAAAAGTTAAAAAGTGTATAAAACTAAGATGGTAAGAAGTAAATGCAACTGGGGAAAAAAATCCATATGATAACACAGAATTACAATTTAGCTAAAATTCTTGCAGGATTAGCAGGTGCTAATTTCTTCCTTATATTTATTGATTTAAAATATCAATACTTTGAGGGCAACAAAAGCGATAGCAACAGCCAATGAAAAATTAATACATTCCTCTTCTGAGCCAGAAAAATTTACAAGTTGATTCAGCAGTTTCAAATGAACCCATTGAAGAAGCAATGTAGAATGTAGTGTACAATGTCTTCCACCTGATTAAGACCCCAAGGACAGAGGCGTTGTCCCGCAGGTATTTTTTTTTTAATCTGCCCTGTAAATAAATGGCATAGTTTGAAAATGTGCACTAGCAAACGTTTTTCTTAACGTAACATTAGAAAGGTCAGCTAAGTAACAAGAGAAGGATTTGTTTTTCTTCATCCGAGGATACCACAGAGAGAATTTGGATTGTCAGGCCATACGAATTATCACGAAGGGCATCTTTTTTTAAAAAAAGCCAATTACAAATTTTGCTTGAGTCCCAAAACTTCACAGCCTCTAAGGAGGGCAAGGAGTATAACTGCAGAACAGGGGATAGCAAATTGGACCGCTGATTCCCCTCCTTGTAGTACCAAAACCAGTATTTTACCAAATGGTCTTCAGAAATACTGTCGAGTTCCTTATAATATTTTAATAGTTTCAAGCGGACTTTTGTTGTTTCGCTGCTAGCACGGGACCCGCCCATGCCCCTGGTTCTTTGTGCTGATGAAATGGAATGTGTGTGAGTGCCGCACTCCATCCGGGTCTTTGCCCTTGAAGCTCCCCGGCCCATGATCTCACTTGCACCTGTGTCTGACTCCATCTCATCCTTTATCTCTCTGGAAACTGTAAGTCATTCTGACATTAATTTCCCAGAGAGGAGCCTTCAGTAACTTGACTAGGCCCAAAGAGCCTCAACGAAAATTTGAAAGGCCAACCAAGAAATGGCTAGACAAGGCCAGTTGTCTGCAGAGAGGTGAGAGGACGTGCAGCTTGGGCACATAGAAAGTGCAACTGTTGGGGCACCATTTTCCTTCAAGCTTTCTGGCTTGGCACCAGGGTTCAAATGTAAAGAAAACAGCCGTGAGAGTCTGACCCACAGATCAAGCAGTCGACAAGACTTGCAAAGAAGATGCTTTCTGTATATTATGGGCAACAAGCACTACAACACAATAGACAAATTCCTTCAAATCATAAGAAAATCCTAGTGTAACGATTTGAAGGGATTTGTTTATTGTGTTGAAGAGCTTGTTGCCCATAATATACAGAAAGCATCTTCTTTGCAATTTATTTATTTATTTTATTTATTTAGATTTATATCCTGCCCTCCCTGCAGACTCAGGGCGGCTAACAAAGGCATAACGCCAGGTAATAACAATAAAACAATAAGAATACAGATTAAAATTACCAAATAGACAATTAAATAATTAACCAAAGTTCTTAAAACATTTTCCGGTGCTCCTCTACTTACTTCCAGATTTTGAAGTCAAGATGGTGTTCTCCATAATCTAATTGCATAACAGTGCCCCACTGTTGTCCCTAGGCACATCCCACTCCCTCCGATGACACCCGCACCAGCGATGACAGTATGCGGCAGTTATAGGGCGTTGATGGAACAGTGGTGGCAGCGGCTCCTATTCAAAAGCCTGGCAGAAGAGCTCCGTCTTACAGGCCCTGCGGAACTGTACGAGGTCCCGCAGGGCCCGGATCTCCTCTGCGAGTTCATTCCACCAGATAGGAGCCGCCACCGTCTTGTCGACTGCTTGATCTGTGGGTCAGATTCTCATGACTGTTTTCTTTACATTTGTTCTCTGATTAGGTCGTGATTGTCCACACTTGTCTTAGCACCACATTTGCCAATCTCCAGGTGGGGACTGGGGATCTCCCAGTATTACAGTTGATCTCCAGCCAAGAGAGAACAGTTCCCCTGGAGAAAATGCCTGCTTTGAAGGGTGGACTCTATGGCCTTGTACCCCACTGAGGTCCCTGTCCTCCACAAACCCTGCCTTCCTCAGGGCTCCACCTCTCACATCTCCAGGTCTTTCTCAACCCAGATATGACAACCTTACTTGGCACTCTCTTCCTTCATGTTTTCTGGCTCTGAATGAACCGGGCCAATCGAGAGATGGATGGGCAATCACAAAAGCACAGTGACTATGACAGTGGAACCCTTGAATGGTTGCAGCTTGGGCTGGGGGGGCTGGTAGGGTTGCCAGGTCCCAATGACGCAATGGCAGGGGGAAGGGTGGGATGGAACTTTCTGGGAGCGGGGAGGAGCACCGCGACATGCCTACATCACCACAAAGTGACATAGGCACGTTGGGGATATCAGGTGGCGACACTCTGGCTTTTGGGGGAGACCTCTATGGTAGAATTAGCTACAAATCATAGAGTTTTGCCCAAAAACCAGAGTGTCGCCATCTGATGTCCCTGACGTGCCTATGGCACTTCTGGGTTACGTAGGCATGTCACGGTTATTTCTGGCTTCTCAGAGGTAAGAAGGGGTAATTGGGGGAAGGAGCGCACGAAAGTGGAGACCCCGGCCCAGACGGGGAGGTCTGGCAGCCCTAGGGACTGGGAAGATAGAGATCGGCTGGAGAAGACTC